GCAAATTTTCACTATCACTGGAATTTGAACTCTAGACCTGCCACTTGGGGGTTGACAACCTATCCACTTCACTAGGTTGCCACATCCTTTGTATGTTTTTTTGTAAATTTCTGTTATTCAGAAGCAAATATACAATTCAACATATAATTGCTGCTTTTTTGAATATGAATACTGCTTTAAGCAAATATGCATTTGGTCTTTCTATCTTTGTAATATGTTTGTTCTATTTACTGTTTACTAATATACCTACTTCTAAGTCTTTATACTTAGTTTGCTTTGCACTTGTCCAATAATCACTATAACTTTCTTTTTGTATCTTCATAAATTTTGCTTCTTTCTATTTTATATTGGTTTCTGTTATTTCTACTACATTGAGTTTTTGTTCTTTGCAGTAGTTTAGTAACTCTTGAAGCTTGTAACTATTTTCTTTGATACTGTTTATATTGTATATTCCTAATTTTATTACTTTATATTATTCTTTTTCTTTGACATATTTTTTTTTTGTGAATTCTTTCTTTTTTGACATTATTTCTACTAAGCCAAACTCTTTCTCTGTAGGTATGTTCATAGAGACAACTGTGGCAACTGGCTCAGAGCAGTTGAAAGCACTTACTTTATTCTTCATATTTCTTAACAGTTCCTTATATAGCTTTTCTCTAACCTTTTCTACCAATCTCTGAAAGATTTTTTCAATTGTTTCTTTTTTATTGTCAACTTTTTTGTCTTGCTTCTTCTTTATGCTAGTCTCTTTATTTTTTTTTCTTTTTTTTATTCCAAGAACTTGTAGTACTTCAATTTTCTTTACTGTTCCTTCTCTTGCTATTTGTTGTAAATATTCTTGCATCTCTCTTTTGGAATTTTTGCTAGTTGTTTATTTTTAGTATTTTGATTTTCTTTGTTTCTGTAACAACCTTCAGTTTTCTATTCTAGACTATGGTTGAAATACTTTATTTATCTACTTATTGCTCTTTTTTTGTCTTTTTTACTTTCAAATTCAACTATGGCCTGGCTTTTTTGGTTTCCATTCTTGTTTAAAAAAATATATACTGCTTTTGCATTAATGTTTCTCAACTGTCTTGGCAAGAGTATTTCTTTTGTAAAGCTAGACAATTTCTTAATTCTAGCATGAAATTTTCTTTTTTCTTCTAACTCTGAACTGTTACTCCTTTTTATTGTTATTCATGCTAAGTAACTACTTCTTAATAGTAGTATCTAAATTTTTTTTACTTTTTCTTTGAAATCTTAATCTATTGTACTTCATTCTATTCTGCTTAGATTTTTTTATTTATACTGTGATTCGGTAATTGGTGATTCAGTCGCTACTCTAATCCAATTCTCGCATAACCTACGGTGGCTAAGTCAAAATAGGCATGTTAGATTTGGCTAGGTGGCTTATCTGTAGGTAAGTGCTATTCTTCTCTTCTAAGTCTTTCCTTCAACCTGTTCTTCTATTAACCCTTGCCTTCTCATCTCTGCTCTTGTATGACTTAACCCAGGCTTACGATACATCGAATCGGAGTTGGATCCTTCTCTTGCATTAACGGCTTGGTCACGTAACTTACAGCGAATGTCCAAAGGTGGTTGCAGTGGTTTATAAATGAATGATTGGGTTAACAACAGGATTAACAACAGTTTATTAGTTTGTATAGGGTAACATTTATACTTTTATTAGGGATCAGATATTTAGTATTACTAGGGGATTTATTGATATATGGGATGATTTTCCTTTTTTTCCTAAGGCAAAAATGCTCTTTATTTATAATAAATGTTTTGTTTACATTGGTCATTAATTTCTAACATAAATCTAATATCTGTTACATCCTAATTATATTTAAGAAAAGGCCGATATCTCATTTATCTTATAAGTAAAAGAAATAGCATAAGTAACAGAAGTAACAGAAGTAAGAAAAGTAACAGAAGTAACATTTCTGTTACTTTTCGTGTGACCTTGGATTGGGTAAGGATCGGGCAAGGATCGTCGCTTCGATTCGGGCACCTGTGATCTCAAAAATTGGGCTCACATTTCTCCTCTACTTAGTTTATGTGTACCATGCATAAATAGGTATGTCACAGAAACTTTAAATCCTCATGCTTCAATGCTTCGGTGGTGGGGTTACTTCATGGGTCAGGAGGGAAGTATTCTTCTTTTTCTTTGTCTTTTCATTTTTGATCCATTTTACTAACTTCTTTCTTCTGCATTTTATCTCTAGGTTCTTTTTCTTCATCGTTAGCTCCTCTCTTAGGTGGTGGTTCTGGTTCAATCCATGTTGCAGTTTCTTTGCTGTTGATGTCCTTTTGAACCAACCTTCTTTCATTTTGCGTCAACTCTTTAGCCTCTCCAGGTTTCAGTTCATGTTCTGCAACTTCATTGGCCTCTTCTTCTGATAGTGTTGACTCAGGTTTCTTCAGCATTAGCTTCTCTTAGGAGGTGGGTTTCACTAATTCTTTCTAATATATTTTCTTTTCACTTTGTTTTTGTTTTTTTGATTCCCATGATGTTTCTTCTAGTCCACAAGATTCTACTCTGACCTCTTGATTCACTCTAGATTTCAGGATAGGAGGTCCTTCAGATCGTCCATTTTCTTCAGCTATGGTAAGTTCTTTTAATACTTTTGGACCATCTTGGATCAGTCTTTTAAACCTATTAACCTTTCTGTTCTAATCTTCACAGGCTTTTTTCAAGTTTGTCAATGCAAAACGTCGATGGCTTTGCATCTTAAGGTCCCTGTTTTCAGTGGCACTTTGGAAGTATTTGAATGCTTTATGTTCGGCCTCTTCGACTCCAATTCTCTTGTTTTCATTCTTTTCAATCTTGGTCTGATCATTGTCTTCACATATTATATCACCATCATTGTTATTATCACTATTGTCATCGTTATCTCTGTTATCGTCATTATCACCATTGTCATTGTTGTCATGACTATTCTTTTCAACTTCAATTCCATTTTCATGCCAAATACCAACACTATATGTTCCTTTGACATGACCCATGTCTGCAGCTTTCTGAAAGTATTTGAATGCATTTTTTTCATCCTTCTTAGCATCGATTCCATTTTGATAACAAGGTTCACAGGTTTTATGTTCATTCTTTTCAACTCCAATTCTATTTCGATAACAAGGTCGAACTTTCCTTGTTTCATCAGCATTCTTCATCTTTGAAGATTGTTGATAGCATTCGAAGGCTTTACAGTCATCATTTTCAATTCTAATTCCATTTTTATAACAATGTTTTCTTGCTTCATCAGCATTCCCCATCTCTGCAGATTTTCGATCATGTTTGAAGGCTTTCCATCCATCCTTTTCGACTCTGATTCTATTTCGATAACCATGTTCACAAGCTTTATATTCATCTTTTTCAGCTCCAATTCCATTTCGATAACAAGGTCCAACTTTTCTTGTTTCATCAGCATTCCCTATCTTAGCAGATTTTTGATGGTGTCCAAAGGTTTTAGGTTCACTCTTTTCAACTCTAATTCCAGAGGGTTCTTTATTCGGTCTGGGTGTTCAGGTCATTAGGATTTCCAGATAACTGTCAAATAACTTTTCTAGTGCTATTTTAGCATTTAGCTTAAAATCTTGCTCTTGTTTTAGGTCTTCCCTTTTGTAGTCATCACCTGATACTTCCGAGATGTCGTACGATTCGAGAACTTTGGTTATAGTTGGTCCTTTTTCGTGAAACTTGGCTGGACTAATTTCGGGAGCATTCGCAAAACATTTTCTTTTAGGAGTAATAGTGGATGTCCTGATATCTGGTAAGTCAACACTTAAGTAGACTATTTCTTCAACTTCAGAAATTTTTTGATAATTTTCTAACACTTTTAAAATGAATTCTAGAGCCTGTAGAATTTGTTTATTACTGATTTTATTATTTTTGAATTTCTTATCAATGATTTCTTGGAACTCCATTGCTTGTTCTCAGGTAAGTATTTTGGTCAGTTTTGCGCATTTTTTTTCTAATTCTTTTACACTTGCATCTTTACTAACTATCCTATTTCTTCTTCTATTGTTGTTCAAATACAAGGTCTTCTTTTTTACGCTCTTTTGAGGCTTCTTACCATCCTGGAAACTTCTTGATATACAGGGTAGTAGGATTTCTTTATTAAAATAAGTATTTTTTTTCATTTATCCTTGTGACGGGGCATGTACTTTTACTAACTCAAGTTTCTTTTTGGATCTCACAGTCACCACCAAATGTGATTCGGTAATTGGCGATTCGGTCGCTACTCTAATCCAATTCTCGCATAACCTACGGCGGCTAAGTCGAAATAGGCGTATTAGATTTGGCTGGATGGCTTATCCGTAGGTAAGTGCTATTCTTCTCTTCTAAGTCTTTCCTTCAACCTGTTCTTCTATTAACCCTTGCCTTCTCTTCTCTGCTCTTGTATGACTTAACCTGGGCTTACGATACGTTGAATCGGAGTTGGATCCTTCTCTTGCGTTAACGGCTTGGTCACATGACTTGCAGCGAACATCCAAAGGCAGTTGCAGTGGTTTATGAATGAACAATTGGGTTAACAACAGGATTAATGACAGTTTATTAGTTTGTATAGGGTAACACTTATACTTTTATTAGGGATCAGATATTTAGTATTACTAGGAGATTTATTGATATATGGGATGATTCTCCTTTTTTCCCCAAGGCAAAAATGCCCTTTATTTATAATAAACGTTTTGTTTACATTGGTCATTAATTTCTAACATAAATCTAATATCTGTTACATCCTAATTATATTTAAGAAAAGGCTGATATCTCATTTATCTTATAAGTAAAAGAAATAGCATAAGTAACAGAAGTAACGGAAGTAAGAAAAGTAACAGAAGTAATATTTCCATTACTTTTCATGTGACTTTGGATTGGGTAAGGATTGGGCAAAGATTGTTGCTTCAATTCGGGCACCTGTGATCTCAAAAATCGGGCTCACAATACTATGCTGTATGCATATTTCATCAGGTTTTCTTATCTTTTTAACTAATTCTGTTATCTGTTTCACATTAATGCTGTATGAAAGGTCCTAATTGTACACTACACTTTTTTTTTATAAGTTTTTGAAGCTTTTTTTCTTTCATATTTTTAAGCTTTATAGTTTTCTTTTCTTCTGCTTTCTTTAATTCTGTGGCCTCTATTTCTTTACTTATTTCTTTCTAGATATCTTCTTTATTATTAGCTTTTTCTTTTTTCTTGTTTTTATTCTTTTGTTTATATGTATACTTCTTCTTTTCCTCTATACTATTATGATTTTCTTCTTTCAGATTATTGATAAAACTTAGTATTTGTTGCTCTAATTCCTCATTTTCATAATCAGTTGTTTCTGCTTTTAACAGTATTAGTGCAAGCTTTTTACTAAATATCTTCTTAGCTGTTCTTTTTAACAAACTTGGGGTATTAACTTTGTTTGCTTTTTCTTTTTTACCAATTGCTTCTTGGTATTTTTCTCAGTTGTATACTTCTATTGTCTGTTCAACAATATATACTGTTTCTGGTTTTGTTATATCTAAGAGCTTTGTAATTTCTTTATCTTGTTTTAGTGTGAAGATATTTAGTTCACTTAGAGCTTCTATAATTTTATTCTCCTGTCATTCAAATAGACCTCTGTACTTTTCTAAATGTTCCATGATGATCTGATTATCTAATATTACTTATATAGCTCATATGAATATATATCTGTTTGTTTATATTGCTATAGTGTTATTATAGATTATTATCTGTTGCCTTTTTGATGCTTTGTTTATTTTGTTAATATTTTTATATGCATATGTTGTTGTTGTTTTGTTTTGGTAATCTGCAATACCAGATCTCTGTAAAAAGCCCACTTTTTGTTTTTATAAAAGCAAAATTTTGTTGTTTCTTGCTGTACTTAGTGCCTTTATTTGTTTTCTTCAGTTTTTATCTGTTTAAAATGCTGCTAGTTGTGGTGGTCTTATCTTTTCTCTTTTTTTTATATTTGGTACTGACTTTTGTATTATAGTTTTGCTATGATGTTTTTTTGTTTTTTCTGTTTGTTATAGAAAATGAGAATCAGCAGAAAGAGTTTAACTTATTTACAATATTAAATTATTTTAATTAATATATCTTTATAAAAATTAATACTAATATTTTACAATGAATAATTACAAAATCACAACTATTTGAAAAAATCACAAGCATTAGTAATAATTAGACTAAAATTAAGCATTACAATACTTATTGACTAAATACTCATCAACTAATACTATGCTTTGAATGCCAAATCAAAAACTTAAAATTTAAAACAGCTTACTACTATTTTACTAATTCAATAAATCCAACTTTTAAAATTTAAATTGACTGTCACAAATGAATTTATGCAAATCCTAATTGTCTATATTCTTACTAAAGAACTATACAATATAAGCAAAATCACAATTCTTTATTACTAATTATAAAGTATCAAACTATCTATTGATTTATACAAATCTTTGCAAATAATTAAAAAATAATATAGAAAATATATACAACAAGTTAATTTTCAAAAGAACAAAATCTCAAATTTACAACCAGTTACAAAAACAAATAAATATAATATATTATTCACCCAAATGACATATTAGCATAATAATTATACTTGGCATTGCACTAACCAAATCTTCTCCTTTACAGATTATTTAATGTTTATAATACTTGCAATAATCCTTATAGTAATAACAGAAAGAACAAAAGTTTAAATAACAACTAATAAAAATAACATTTATAATAAAATTTTAACAATAATTACAACTTTAACTGAACAGAAACATCAACTAAAAGAAACTTTTTTTAATAACTTAGCCAGTCTTCTTAGTACTATAATCAATACTAAAAATTAGAAGATTCAAATTGATCTAATAGAAGAAAAGATTAATATAAAAGATGCTTTTTTAATTTTATACTGATTTACTCCCTAATACATTACTTAATACTACTTTTACTCTCTCTATACTAAATATACCAACTACATATATGATTTATCAAATACCAAAAACCTTACAACAAGCAAAGGCAATTATTATATAGAATAATCAGAAATGCATCAAACATATCTCTAACAATTTTTTTAATATTAATTGAAAACTTACATTTGAATACTTTAATTTTAAAAACAAACCTCTTAGCTAAAATACAGATTCTACAAAATCTATTTTAAAAATATTCAAAATTAAAATTCTAACCTCAGAACTACTAATGCATCTTAACCTCTACAAAAGAAACCCAAAAACTTATATTAATCCATTCTGTGCAAACTGTCCTAACATACTAGAAGATACAGTTTATATGCTTATCTGTCTTTATAACCAAATAGAATTAAAAAAATCATAAAAGAAGCAATAACAAAAATCTGTAAAGATAATAAAATCAAATCAATTACAACAACTGATTTAGCTTAAAAAATTCAAAATATTTACATATGTTAACAAATTTCTATTAGAATTTAACAAACAACTTATCCAATCTTGGGTTATTAAAAAAGTGTTTATTATCAAATATTTATTACTAAATTATAAAAAAAATATACAAACTTATATAGAAACCAAGTAGAATACATATCTAACAGCAAATTCTATTGCTATCAAATATTATTAATACTAACTTAAATTATACATCATTAATATTAGTAGATAGACAATACACAATATAGCTCAATAGATTTATACAATTTAACCAAACATCCCCTTTTATCAAATCCATAAACTAAAGGTTTCTTAACTATTTTAGCTAAAAATAAGTTAAAGATAAATTTACTTTAACTCTTACTTCTTTAGTTTAATGTACTAATTTGTACTAGTTATATTTAATTATATATTACTAAAATAAAGAATTAGAGAAAAGATCTTTCTTAAAAAAAAAAAATTATTATTATTATTATTATTATTAAAGCTAATATTAATAGCAGCTAATGTTTTTATTTGTATTTTTAGTTAATATATTACACATTATTTGTACAAAATAAGCATATAACTAGTCATATATATAACTTTTAGTTACTTATTTAAGTAGTTCATCAGAAGGTTTTATTATTTTTTTTTTAAATATTAACAGTAAGGCCATGCCTTTAACTTTATTAAAGTTCAATTAAAGTTTTTACAAAGAAAAGCTTGCTTTTAAATTACATATGAAGAATAAAGACTTAGACATATAATCTGTAATCTAAACTTACAAGAGTGGCCAAGGCTTATCTAGAATCTGAAGATTTTATACTAGCTGCTATATTTATAATTTACTAGAAGACTATCTAATTAAACACTTTGGTTTCTATATTGCATTCAAGCAATTAGTCACCTTAGTTCTTATACAACTAAGTATTATTTAACTTAATATTAAGCCTTTCTTTTTGTATATTCATCAAACTATTATCTAATTTTAAAGCATGTTATTTAACTGTAAGGCTTAGAGAACCTTTTTGTTAACTAACTTATCTACTTTATAAATTATTAACAGAACTTGCTTTTGCAGAGTTTACACAAATCCTAGCATTTACTTTACAACATATTTTTAGTACTTTTAGTATATCTTTGTCTTTTTTTTAAACTTATAATTCAAATAGTTTAGCAGAACTACAACCAGTCTATTAATATATTAGGTTAGCCTAATATTTTTTTCTTTTAGTTCTTTTGATTAGAATTTTAGTAGCCTAATTAGTAATACTCTTACCTAGAGGTTTTTGCTTATTTAGATATTTTATATTGGTATTCATTTTCTAGGTTTAGTTATTATAGTAGTACTATTAAAGATCTGTATTATCTCTTTATTCAGGTCTTCTCAAATAGGCTTTTTCTTCTTTAATTTCTATGAATTTATATAGTCACAAAAACTTATCTTGGATTTGTACTATCTGGTGCTAGTTTTTATTTCTTTATACAGTTTATCCTTATTTATATCAACCCATTTGAATTGGTTTTAAATTATATTGATAGTAATATTAATGAGAGATTATATTAAAGTTGATATCTGGGATCTTTGCTAAGATTTTTTTTCTAAAAATAGATTTACTATGTTTTTTCTAATAAATTTCTTGTGTAACAATGACTCATAGAATCATTTTAGTAGCAAAGATCTCATATATGAGAGAATTTTAATATATAAAAATTTATAAAAATTTAATTTGTAGCTTAGGTTGATATTAATGATGTTGACATTAATGTGAGTTAA